AAAAAAAAAAAAAGAAATCAGAAAGGAAAAGTTTGTACACAGATCCCTGTTGTTGAATCTTTTTTCTAAGAACTTAAATTCACTAAAAATCTGTTATCTCAGCTTAAGTCACACTTCTCTAAGAGAGACCCAAAGATTATATTTATCCATTGTTCAAAGATGCAAAGAAATCAATGATATGGAAGAAATACTTGCTTCATGCATCCTTCTTCACTTACGGAGAAAATACAAAATGGGAACTTGCAAAGAATCCTGGTTTGGCTTTACTAAGAAAAACAAGCAAAATAAAATATGCTTAACTAAAACAGAAAAAACTAGCCCTGTCATCTAAATCAACTGATTAAGCCTTTAAAAGTCATCTCAGTCAAAAACATAGAAATTAGTTCTACTTAATAACATCTTTAACCATTAGTAAGAAGTCTGGCCCTGATTAAACATACAAACTTGGCCACTTGCCTCATACGCACATTTAGTAACTCGCACTGAATAGAGAACTCTCCATCCAGAAGCAACATGGTATAATTTAGTGAATTCAGCAGTCACTCCAAAGCCCTTTCTTTTTCTACTATGTCATCAATGGGAAAGTATATGAGCCTTACATGTTTTATCTCATGTATTCCTTACACACACTAAGAGGTGAATTATCATGCCCAAGGTCACATATGTCATACATGGCAGAGGCTGCAGTGTCTGAATCCAGGTCAGCCTGGCTTCAAAGCATTGAGAGTCTAGCTCATCTATGCTAGCTCATCTTTCTTTTAAATACAGTCATGTGCTGCTTAAGGACGAGGATACGTTCTGAGACGTGAGGCAATTTCACTGTTGTGCGAACATCATAGAGTGCACTTACACAAACCTAGGTGACACAGCCTACTACACACCTGGGCTGTATGGTACTAATCTCACGGGACCACTGTTGGTTACGCAGTCCGTCACTGACTGAAACGTCCTTATGCAGCGCATGTAATAGAAAACTGCTTCCCATTTTCCATTTTCTGACTCTTTTCTGAAGTAATAATACCAAGACAACTAAGAGTCACAAAATGTTTTAAACCAATATAATATTAAAGCTACAACAGGAGAAAAAGATGGGCATCACAGCCAGTTTTCTTTAGGCTGGGAAAACTTGATAATCAATAATCAAGAAATAAAAGCTAACGCATGATAAATATCAAGAAGAATGTACCTGTGGTATCCTAGGCCAGACTGGTTTTTCTTGTTTGTGTGTGTGTGTGTGTGTACATGTTTTATACATGTTAAATAACCCAAACAGGTGTTTCAACTACAGCTCTGTAAAACCCAAAGAAACAAGTACCAACAAGTATATGAACAAACCCGAGTTCCCAGAAGTCACACTCAGGAACGGCATGGCAAATTTATAACTTTCCCTACTCCCTGTTTCACCATGATATACTGAATTAGCTAATAATGCAGATTTATTAATATATACTTCTTTAGTCTATTTAAGACTTACAGCAGAAATCAAAGACTAGCTTTAAATTATAAGAATGTGGCTTTTACATTTATTTAAGAAAGACTTTTTAAAGTTTATTATTAGATAGTTTCATATTTGCAAAATTCAACAATTTACAAATGTTTACATTAAAAATTTACCCAAATGTATAAGTTATAGATGACTACAAAAATTAACATCGAAGCTTTTAAATATTAGGGTTTATAACTCAATGTTATTTCAAAAATCCTTTTATCCAGATCATATAAAAGGCATTTATTATGAAGCAAATCTTAAATATGAAAATCAAGATTTGTTTTATAAAAAAGGGTATATTTTGTTTTAATTAAAAATTAAAAATATTTATCATAGCAAATTCCCTTAGTGCAACTCAAGTGTTAGAAATAAAATTACTTTGAAAATTTACATCTGTACTGCTTTAACCTTTACCACCCAAATAATGTTCAACTTTTCAGTAACACAATGTTACAGCTCAAGATTTTTTTAAAGGAGTTATTACCACCAGTCTCTGGCCTAGTCCTCCATGACAAGCAAACATTGGAGACCCTACCTTGTGCTGTTCGATGGCATCTATCCACTGTTGTCTGTGAGTTGGATCCTCAGCACGAAGATACCAAATGCTATCATTTACACTAATATCAAACCGACATTCATCAAAATCATGAGGCTGTGGAGAAAAAA